GTGAAGGCTGATGAGAGCAGATTTGAACGAAAGGGAAGAAGGAACATTTTTTGGGAAGCAGAGAACCATTAACCATGTTAGATTACTTGTGAGCCAGGAAGAAAAGTGGGCAGTATTTTAACGGGAGATAGTACGAACTGCCGATACTGGAGTCTGAGTAACAAGGTGTACAGCTGGACGAACACAGCAGTCCAAGCAGCACCAGAGGAGCAGGAAAGCTGACCTTTCAGGTCCGGACCCTTCTTCAGAAATAGGGGAGGGGAAGGGGACTCCGAAATAAAGAGAGAGGGGGAGGCGATGTTAGAAGAGCAGATAGGTGGAGAGAAGACGGACAGGTCAAGGAGGAGGGGATAATGCCAATACAGGTGAGTGTCGGTAGGGAGTTGGGATGGGGGTTGGTCAGTGAGGAGGGAGGGGCAGGTAGGTGGGAGGGAAGACGGACAGGTCAAAGAGGTGGGGATGAGGCTAGTAGGTAGGAAGTGGGGGTGGGGGTTGGTCAGTGAGGTGGGAGGAGCGGATAGATGGAAGAAAAGACAGACAGGTCAAGGAGGTGGGGACGAGATGGGCTGGTATTGGGATGAGGTCGGGGGTGGGGAGATTTTGAAGCTTGCGAAGTCCACATTGATACCATTGGGCTGCAGGTGTCCCAAGCGAAATATGAGGTGCTGTTCTTGCAGCCTTTGGGTAGCATCGTTGTGGCACTGGAGGCGGCCCAGGATGGACATGTCGTCCAAGGAGTGGGAGGGGGAGTTGAAGTGGTCGCGACTGGGAGGTGCAGTTGTTTGTCACGAACCGAGCATTGGTGTTCCACAAAGCGGTCTCCAAGCCTCCGCTTGGTTTCCCCGATGTAGAGGAGACCACATTGGGAACAGCGGATACAATATACCACGTTAGTAGATGTGCAGGTGAACATCTGTTTAATATGGAAGGTCTTCTTGGGGCATGGGATGGTGCGGTGTACGAGCAAGTATAGCACTTCCTGCGGTTGCAGGGAAAAGTGCCGGGGGTGGTGGGACTAGTGGGGAGTGTGGAGCGGACGAGGAAGTCGCAGAGAGAGCAGTCCCTCCGGAAGGCAGATAAGGGTGGGGAGGAAAATATATCCTTGGTAGCGGGGTCAGATTGCAGGTGGTGGAAAATGATGCATTGAATCCGGAGGTTGGTGGGGTGGTACATGAGGACAAGGGGGAATTCTGTCTTTGTTGTTATTGCAGGGAGGGGGTGTGAGGGCTGAGGTGTGGGAAACACGGAAGATGTGGTCGAGGTCAACCACTGTGGAGGGGAAATCGCAGTCCTTGAAAAATGAGGGCATCTGGAGTGTCCAGGAGTGGAACGCCTCATCTTGGAAGCAGATGCTGTGGAGGCGAAGGAATTGGGAGTAGGGGATGGCGTTCTTGCAGGAAGGTGGGTGACAGGAGGTGTATTCTCGGTAGCTGTGGGAGTCGGTGGGCTTGAAATACGTATCAGTTTCCAGGTGGTTACCAGGAAGGAGAGAGAGGTATCAGAGATGGTCCAGGTGAACTTAAGGTTGGGTGGAAGGTGTTAGTGAAGTGGATGAACTATTCGAGCTCCTCGTGGGAGCACGAGGCGGTGCCGATACAGTCATCGAAGTAACGGAGGAAGAGGTGGGAGATAGTGCCAGTGTAACAATGGAAGAGGGACTGTTCCACGTATCCTACAAAGAGACAGGCATAGCTTCGGCCCATGAGGGTACCCATGGCCACCCGTTTTGTCTGTAGGAAGTGGGAAGAGTTGAAGGAGAAGTTGTTAAGGGTAAGGATGAGTTCGGTTAGGCGGATAAGGATCAGAGGAGGGTAACTGGTCAGGCCTGTGGGAGAGGAAGAAGCTGAGGGCTTTTAGGCCATCTGCATGGGGAATGCAGGTATATAGGGACTGGACGTCCAAGGTGAAGATGAGGTGTTGAGGGCCAGGGAATTGGAAGTTTTGGAGGTGGTGGAGGGCGTGGGTGGTGTCACGGATGTAGGTGGGGAGTTCCTGGGCCGGGGAGAGAAGATGGAGTCAAGATAAGTGGAGATAAGTTCAGTGGGGCAGGAGCAGGCAGAGACAGTGGGTCAACCACAGCAGTTGGGTTTATGGATTTTGGGACGGAGATAGAAATGGGCGGTGCCGGGTTGGGGAACGATGAGGTTGGAGGCTGTGGGAGGGAGGTCACCTGAGGTGATGACGTTATGGATGGTCTGGGAGGTGATGTTTTGGTGGTCAGGGATGGGGTCACGACGGCAGTTGGAGATGAAGAGGTCGAGGGAGGGTAGGAGGCCTTGGGGTGGTGTCCAGGAGGAGTGTGTGTGTTGGAGGCAGGTGAACGGGGTCAGTAGAGGGGGGTTTAGGCTCACAATTAAAGTAGTAAGCGCGGAGGCGGAAGTGGCAGAAAAACTGTTCGATGTCCAGGCGTGAGTGGTATTCATTGATGTTCGGGTGGGAGGGGGATAAAGGTGAGGCCTTTACTGAGGACTGACCGTTCGTCCTCAGTAAGGGGGAGGTCTGGGGGGGATGGTGAAGAAGACTTGGCAGGGCTGGGGGCTGGTGTTTACTGTTGAGCTGCTGGCTGTGGGGGTGGTGGGCGGAGCAGCATTGGCGGTTTAATGGGAACAGGGTTGAAAGAGTAGGACAGATCCTCTGGACAGGAGTATGGCAAAGAAAGATGCAGAAAGAAACTAGAGAAAGATGCAAATTTGGGAAGGCTGGGGGAAAGGGAATAGGGAATAGGATTGGTGAGGGGTGAAAGGGAAGTGGCACAGCTGGTAAGATAGTCTTAATTTTGAAAGCTAGCAGCTCACGAGTTCCTCACATTTCTTAGAGGTAAAAAAATTGAGACACAGAAGAAAGAGACATTTAAGAATAGAATGTGCAGAAGAGACCAAGGGTTATCTTTGGCCTTTATTTCAAAATGAATGGAGCATAAAAGTACCAAAGGTTTTGCTAAAACTATACAAGGCACTAGTCAGACCACAGCTGGAATACTGTGAAAAGTTTTCAGCCACTTATTTAAGGTGCTATATATTGGCTTTTATAGGGCGGCACGGTGGCACAGTGGTTAGCACTGCTGCCTCACAGCGCCAGGGACCTGGGTTCGATTCCAGCCTCGGGGCACTGTCTGTGTGGAGTTTTCACATTCTCCCCATGTCTGCGTGGGTTTCCTCCGGTTTCCTTGCACAGTCCAAAGATGTGCAGGTCAGGTGGATTGGCCATGCTAAATTGCCTGTAGTGCTCAGGTGTAGATTAAGTGGATTATAGGGGGATGGGTCTGGGTGGGATGGTCTGAGGTTGAGTTGGGCCGAAGGGCCTGTTTCCACACTGTAGGGATTCTATGATATAGAGGCAGACCAAAAGGAGGTTCTGGGACAATCTTGGGCATGGAGCAAATACCTTAACAGGAGGGACTGAGCAGGTAGGGCCTGCATTTACTCCAATTTAGAAGAATGAAAAGCAACCAAATTGAAAGATACGAGCTTCTTAAGCAATTTGACAGGGTAGATGCAGAAAATTTATTTCCCCATTCAGAGAAAGTCTAGGGCAAATTCTCAAATGTAAATTCTTGCAAATTTAAGAAGCAGATGAGGAGAAATTTCTTCTCTCCGAGGGTGCAAATCCGTGGAATTCTTTAGTACAGAATGCCGTCAAGGTTGGTCATTGAGTGTATTGCGACGCCAGATACACAGCCAGTTGATAAGTAAGGGAATCAAGGCTTATGGGGAAACGGCAGGAAAATGGATCTGAGGATTATCAGATCAGTCATAATCTCATTGAATGGTTAAGCGGACTCAATGGTCTTGAACATCCTGCTTCTGCTCCTACACCTTACAGTCTTTGCATTCCAGGATTACCCTGGAATAAAGACCAACTTTTGCAGATGACAGCAAGACCAGATAGTGTCTTACATGGTCAGCCAGATCCGGCAGCAAATAGTTAAAGCAGCTATTCATCATTTGCAGAGATGCAGGAACCATACAGGGAAATGACCAGAATGACATAATCAAGCTCATTAAGTGCTTTCCTTTCTGGATTTGCACGTTATATCAGAACTAAGTTATCACATGCTATAACACTGAGACTCTGTTCACCATCCCAAAACAAAATGCTCCAGGAGGAGGAAAGCCTCAAAAGGAGGCAAGCTAAGAAAGAATTTAAACAGATTAAAAAAAAAGTCTACATGAACCTTCAAACAGTAACTTCCAGTTTGGATCGTGGTGCTTACATGGAAAGTATTATTTGAATATTACATTAATATCAATGGTACTGTTCCCAGAAGTGCACATATCTCCACAAAACAACAATCATAAAAAGATTCAATTTCAAAACCCTTACCGCACAAAGCAAACTATACAGGATTAAAAATGAAACATGAACCTTTAAACACTAATCCTCAACTCTTTAGTCATCCCCCTTTTCCAATCATCCCAAAATTGAATTAATCAGCCCTCCTCTTGTATCCCTTAGTCAGGATCTCATCCTCTCTGCTCGAATATCATCACATCAATTCTTCTACATTACAATTTTCATCCAAAGAACTACATCAAGTATTTCAGCAAAAAAAAAGGACACTTACTGTTGCCTATGTAAATATCTGGGTTAACTTCATAAACTTAAGCTTAGGCTTTTTTGGAAATTGTGCATTCAATATACATTCTGCTCAGTTTCACCTGTCATTGATTTGAAAATGAGCTGTCGTTCCATAATTCCACGGTTGCTTCAAAGCTTCTATTATCACAGTCAATTTTCTCCAGCAAAATTGATCATTATCAATTGTACTGAAGTAAAAGTCTACTTGGGGAGCATTTACCAAAATTATCACTGCTAAGGGAAAAAAATAATTACACTTCAATCTTGTACTGATCGGATTCAGGGTCAAAAGGACTACAGTATAATTTTATTTTTAAAAACTGAAAGACTAATGGCAATGAATACAACAGTAATTAATATATTAAGTCAATACAACAAGCACATTGTGTTGTAAATTTCTGTAACGCCAAAGGATAACTCACCTTAGGACTTTTAGGGTTCCTTGCAGTTTGAATTAAAAGTTCTTCACCCATTCTCTCTCTGTAATTGAGAATATTATTAACCCAAGTTATAGAAGATGTCAAGTGTAAGTTAGACCTCAATAAACAATATAACTGCTATAATTTGATTCATTGATAATTACTCTGTCAGCATGTGCTCAAATTCCAATCACTCACTTGATGAATTTGTTAATTGAGATTTTGCCCATAAAGTGCAGTTGAAACAATTGCATTGTAATGTAATAGCTAAAAGTAGTCTACTTCTACAAATAGTGGCCTTTGTGTAAAACCAGTACAGCTCAATGAGTTTCTTCATTTTATTTATTCATTCTTTATAATGCTGATTTTCGCAACAAACGATATTCTCGAATTTTGCTTTAGCATTAATGTATTTTCCACTGCAAAACCCAAAGTTTTAAACATGTCGAACAAAGTTAATAACTTTCATTTTGAAAGCTTTTACACAGTGCACATTTTCCAGTCAGCAACAAATACTGGGCCTTGTTCAGAATATTGAAAATAAAGGAAATTTTCAATGGCATATTTTGCCTCAAATACTTGGAAGTCCCTTGCACCTAAAACAAGTATGCACTAATTTCCAGAAGAGTTGCTCAACTCTTAAAAGAGAAATCTCAAGGGCATTTTCATAATTGAAGACTTTATAATTTTAGCAAGCATTTGACTCTCGTCTTGGGAATGCACAAGCACCTAGGACATCCGGTGGAAGAGAGAGAGAAAGATTGCTGCCCTATGAGAGCCATATTTTTCCTCCATCCCAAAAAATTGTTAAAGCAGGAATAACCTAAGGATAACTATTTGTATTGGAAGCTACAACTTGAATACCGAAAATGCATTACCAAAAGTCTCTGGACTTGCACTTTTCCACGACCCACTTTATGGTTAAGCAACTCTGGTCCACTGGAGGAATCTTTTTTAACTAGATTACTTAGAGAACAGCAATATCCTCAAAAAACGTCTCCTGTAAATCACTACACTGCTAAGAAATTTTAGACAACTGTAGCTTGTTAAGGTGAAAGGAAAAAGCTCTTGCATTCCAGCCCAAAGCACAATGTTGCAGGTCGGGTACGGTTAAATATCATGATAGGGTTCTAATCAGGACCTTGTAAAGGACAACTTGACAATTCATTCCAATTCACGCTGGTCGTTTAGGACTGTGCCTCATGCAAACAGAAAAAAATTAGGTTGCTTTTCTCATTCAATTGCCAAAAAAGGCTTCAAAATATATAGCTGGATACATTTACAGGTGGAATGTGAGTCCTTACCTAGCACATCCTATCTCCCCACTGAAAGCGTCTGGACCTCATGGATCTGGTTTTATCCCATTTCAAATCCATTAACATATAGGAATTACAATTGGGCCATCAATGCCCTTTTGAAAGTAGCAATCAGCAGTGTTTGAATTGCTGGAATAAATTTCTACTTGTGAATGATGACGCATCCAGTGCACTGTGTCCTTCACTATATCACTTTCACTGTTGTATTGAAGTCATTTGTCCAGTGGTCTGCTACACAAGTTTTTTTCTTTAAGAATAAATCAAGTGAGGCAGTTTAATACCAGCTGCAAGGTTCAAGTTTTCTGGCTTCAATATAATTGCAACAATGGTGTGTTGGCAAGACAATTCCCATTGTCATCAACATCATCTAATCATCAAAAGGCTCTTTATGAACCTTGCTGGGAATATGATTCTCCAAGTTCCAGATCACTGTATGTCATGCAGATTACTGATTTTGACGAAAAAATATTGATGTTAAAAGCTAACAAAATAGAAGCTTTTACCATCACGCGTGCATCTACAGCACAGAACAGTGGACAGTAAGCAGTGAGCCTGTTCCAGCAGGACAGGCCATTACATTTGCATTTTACCATTTTTATCCAAATAATATCATTTCAATCTGGTCTGTCCTTATCACAACTCTATAATTTCTATACGACTGAAACTAGCAGAAAAATCAGCCTACTTTTGAACCATGTTCCTTTCAATGAACTGGCAGATATACTGATGCCAGTACATCCCTAAATGCCTGTGCTTAATCATAGTTAACTACTGAAGTTTCTGAATTTAGGGCACTTTATTATAAGTATCAAGGAAATCCAAAAATAAACTTACTTCAGTATTTTTTCCCAGGGCTCGCTTTCATAAAAGGCATGGCTCCAGCCCATTTTCATAGTTCCAACTATCACATTCTGCTTGAATACATCAGTTCCTAGTTTCCGGTACATTTCCTCACAATCATCCAGTGCAATTTGGAAAAATCCCAACATGAATGCCAGTATAGCACCTGGAATAATAATTTTTAAATTAACACAAGTCCATTTACACACCAAAAATTACCTGACACTGTTTATAGGAGTTAACCTATCCATCCAATTAAATTTGGACTTTGTTGAATTGATAACAGGTGGTGGAAACAAACTGAATAATCAAAATTAGCACAGAAATTCTACATTAACTGGAGTGCTACATTTACCACAACATATCAAGATGCTAAATGAGCTCACTGACAATTTGGTACTTCATTACAGTAAAGAAGTATTCTGGCTAAAAATTAGATGATGAAGTAGGTGTTTAGCGATTATCGGTCAGGTAACACAACATCCGTAGTTGCACACATGTACACAGCACATGAGGACATCCAAAAGCAAAGGCCCATAACGAGGAGTGAGAAAATGATCAAACAGGCAATCTGGTTGAACAATGTTGCTCAAGGACTAACTATTGACCAGAACACCACAGAGTACCTCCTGCTCTTATTCAAATCATGTCATGTGATTGCACCGGTAGTAAAAGGGCAGATGGAACATTGATTTAATGAATATTACCAAAGATGGCACATTTGACATTGCAACATTCCCTCAAGTGCGACATTGAATTGTCTGCCTAAATAATGTACTCCGGTCTCTGGAGTCAGATTCAAACTCAAAATCTTTTGACTTAGACATCATATCAATGATCACATTTTTACATGTTTAATGATGCTGAGACAATGAGGACGAAGCAGAATGGTACATTCTGACTCTTGATTTCAGCCAATTATGTGGCGAGCTTGATGAACTTTAGACCATGTAATTGGACAATATTAACTGGTGTATTTTGGGGAAAATAGCTATGGATGTGTATTAAACTAAAAAAATCTTATTCTGAGGAGACACTTCTTTTTTATGTCACGGAAACCCGGCCTAGGCAGAGGGGATGAAGGATCACCCATCTCTCCTGTAGAAGGATTCAATCTCAAAACAGTTTTCAGCAGTGTCGGCTGATTTTCCAGAGCATCTGGTTGATATTCTTAAACTAATTGCAATATTAAAAAAGCCTGCTTCATTTCTAGAGATAAAAATAAGTACACAGGAACGACAGGAGCAAGAAATCATCCAGTCAGCACGGTGCAGTTTTACAAGAGACAAAACTGGAGCACAGAGCTGGCCTTAAACTCATCTGTAAAACTTCACCATTGCATCTGATAAATAGTATCCTCATATGGAGGAGTCCGAGGCCAAGCCTGGAGCACAGAAAACAGATCGGAAAGGATTCAAAGACTTACCAGAATGTCGGCATAACTGAAAGAAGTCAAGTCATCAAAGCCTTTCACAACAAAATTAATCTTTTTTGGAACATGATTAAGGATAGATGTGAGGTAGGTTTACAAAGGTTTCAAAGATTTAGAGGTTGAAATCGACATTATCTAAGTTGCACTATACTTGACGAGCACAGGATGAAAAGTATAAAATTCACTTCTGTTACAGAACAGGATAAACTTACTTTCTTGCAAGCCAATCCCTCAACTCAACCCAACCTCAATAATGGATATGTGAAAAAGATTCCTAGAAATGACAGCTGATGTTGAACCAAACGATATATTTAAAATGGAGGTGGATTAGTAATCAGCGAGGAGATTGAGAGGGAATGGGGATCTGTGGGGAATGATGGAGATACTGATAGTCCTGCTTGATTTTTTATAATAAACAGGAGGAGATAAACGAATAAAACATTTTTTTGTAAACTAAAACATAAACTGTTGCCCCGTGAGGAATATTATTAAAGAATAATCAATCACAAGTTGAGGGTGAGCAGACTTGATAAGCTAAAGCATCCTTTCCTGTTACACACTTCTTATCCTAGTTATCACTATAGAAAACAGATCAGTAAATTAATGTATTAATCTATAATTTTTAGAAATGGAAAATAAAATTACATTATACCCCACAATTAATTGCAAGTAGAACTCCTGCAGGCAGGAGGGCAAGTATTCATCCCCCTTAATTAATGAACTTCCACATTCCAAAGATCCAAACTAACTTGAAGGCTTTCAAAATTTGAAAGGCATCAAAATCTTTGTTAATTAATAGCATTCTCCAAACAGTGTACCATCAGGACTCATTACACCCATCTTTTCTTATGCTTCATTTTCCTTGTTAGAGGGTGTAGAATCATTGCTGCAATTCTAATGCATTATAGCAGATGGACACGAATTGTTAACAATCAGTGCCCTCTGGTGGTTATGAAAAGCAACTGGCACCAGTATGGTCGAATATACTTCCCAGATTAACAAGTGCAACATGCACTTCTATAGCACCTCTGCATAGTATCATGTTCCAAGATATTTCACAGGGACATTATCAAACAAAATACGATGCCAAGTTGAACAAGAAAGCAGTAGGTAGAGAAGTAGGTTAAAAAAAAAAAGTACATTTAAAGAATGTCTTCAAACAGAAAAATGTAGTGAAGAACGAGAGCGAATTTCAGAGCTTAGGGCTTGGCTTCTATGGCAGCGCAATTAAATCAGGAACATTTTGGAGACCAGAGACTGTAAAATACTAAATAAAAACCGAAAGAACTGAGGATGCTGTAAATCAGGAACAAAAACAAAGATGCTGGAAAAGCTCAGAAGGGTTGAGGAAGGGTCACCAGACCTGAAACGTTAACTTTGTTTTTTCCTTCGCAGATGCTGCCAGACCTGCAGAGCTTTTCCAGCAACTTTGTTTTTGTTTCAGAGATTGTAAAAGGCTGTTGAAGGAGATTACAGAAATAGGGAACAACGAGCACATAATGGGACTTGCAAGAAGTTTCATCCTTATTTTCAAGTAAGGTGTTTCTTGACCAAGTCGTAAGTAATCAGCCGATTTTACTTATTGGTAATGACTGATCAGGACTTGGCAACAGTTGACAATTGCATGCAAAAACGTTGAATTACTTGTGAATGATTTATTGGTAAAATATAGTTACTAGTTAGAATTTATAAGAGCTATAACAACTCTGTAAAACCATCCAGCAGCATCAGGTTGATCAAATATTTCCATCAGTAAATTCATGTTTTAAAGCATTAACCTCAATTTCTTGCATGAAAGAATATTCTTCCCTTAATGGAAAGGGGAGCATGACCTTGCTTGTTTAAACATTTTGTCAAGATCCATCTCCCACACGAATGCACATTAGCTCAGTGCTGAATTGCATTTATAGCTTCCACTGCTGCGAGGACTTGGAAGAATAGTTAAAGTTAAGTATGGCACACATAGGTTGGATGTCTGGCAAGATCAATTTCTCATCTCAGAGCCTTGACTCTGCAGCAGGGTCACCAATTACAACAGGCTACAGGTTCCTAGAGCTGATCTTTTCGTAGGAGTTTTGGGCCTTTTTAGGTTGAATTAGAGGTGGGCAGAAAACTTCTACTCGCAGGCAGGGCAGGCTATCCAGAACCATATGCAAGGATCAATACAATGTTCTGAAGCAAATAGAAATGAAACAGACTACGGTGGGCTGAATAGCTCACATATCAATTTAAGCCTATTTAGAGTCTTCCCTCTATGGGAAGAGACTGCAGAAAGCTGCAGCACAAAGGGATTTGGGGGGTCCTTGCGCATGAATCACAAAATACTAGTATGGACATTAATATTGACTAGTAAGCAATAGGGAAGGCAAATGGAATGTTGGCCTTTATTTCAAGGGAATGGAGTGTAGAAATAGGGAGGTCTCATTAAACAAGGCACATTAAACAAGACCACAGCTGAAATACTGTGAACTGTTTTGATCTCCTTATCGAAGGACAGATATACTGGCATAGGAGGTAGTCCAGCAAAGGTTCACTCGGCTGATACTGGGTATGGAGAGATTTTCAATGGAGGTGGAGTTGGTTGGGCTTGTATTCATTCAAGTTTAGAATTAGGAGACCTAATTGGAACATACAAGATTCTTGTGGGGGGGGCTTAGCAGGGGAGATGTGGAGGGATTGTTTCCTTTTGCCTGAAAACCTAGGACCACAGGGCATAATCTCAGAGTAGAGTTTCCCATTTTAAGACAAAGGAGGAAACTTTTTTCTCAAAGGGTAGTGAAGCTGTAGAATGCTTTGCCACAGCGGGTGTTAAGATTGGATTGTTAAATATATTCAAAGCTCAGCCAGGCTTCCAATCAGTATGGGAATCAAGGGTTATGGGGAAAAGGCAGGAAAGTGCAGTCAAAGTGAAGAGGATTATCAGATCACCCACAATCTCATGAAATGGTTATAGTGAACGCTACGGACCGAATGGTCTACTTCCGTTCCTCTGTCTTATAGTCACACAGAACCTACCTGTGCTAACCCCACAGATGTAGTCAAAGAGTTGATAGACTTGTTTTCCTGTCAGTTCTTCAAGTTTACGAAGGGTCTGAAGAGCAACCAGTCCCCTATGACAAATAAAACATTTCTCTCAATACCAGTTTGAGCCACTTATATGTCTAAGTTCATACCTTTTCTGTAAACGTTAAGGAAAATTCTGAGATAACAAGGTGTAGAGCTGGATGAACACAGCAGGCCAAGCAGCATCAGAGCAGGAGGAAAGCTGATGTTTCAGGCCTAGACCCTTCTTCAGAAATGGGAGAGGGGAAGGGGGTTCTGAAATAAATAGGGAGAGAGGGGGAGGCGGATAGAAGCTGGAGAGAGGAGAAGATAGGTGGAGAGGAGACAGACAGGTCAAAGAGGCGGGGATGGAGCCAGTAAAGGTGAGTGTAGGTGGGGAGTTAGGGAGGGGATAAGTCAGTCCAGGGAGGACGGACAGGTCAAGGGGCGGGATGAGGCTAGTAGGTAGGAGATGGGGATAGGTGGGAGGAAGGACAGGTTAGGGAGGCAAGGACAAGCTGGGCTGGTTTTGGGATGCAATAGCGGGAGGGGAGATTTTGAAGCTTGTGAAGTCCACATTGATACCATTGGGCTGCAGTGTTCCCAAACGAAATATGAGGTGCTGTTCCTGCAACCTTTGGGTGGCATCGTTGTGGCACTGCAGGAGGCCCAGGATGGACATGTCGTCTGAGGAATGGGAGGGGGAGTTGAAATGGTTCGCGACTGGGAGGTGCAGTTGTTTAGTGCCAACCGAGCATAGGTGTTCTGCAAAGCGGTCCAATTCTAAGTCAGGTGGTGCAACAAATACTGTTGTTGCAAACAAAATGTTCCATTCTACTCACTGCACCACAAAAATTACTTCCTAATGCTCACAATGTAAGTAATGGATAAATTTCTATAAAGCAGTCTGCTACAATGGCAGAATATTTGCCATTTGTGAAAATCCTGCTGAGAATGAAATACTTATTACGTAATAGCTAACCACAGTTGGGAAACTATTTTATGCAAGTGTTTAAAAAAAAATTTGAATTTCTTACATTTTTGTCTCACTTTTTGATATCAACATTGCTAAAATAAGTGATAGCTCAAGGTGCCATCATCTAGAAGGCAAAACACCCATGGTAAGTTAAGAAGAGCTCCAGTGAAGAATTCAATGACCACATACAACCAACTTGGCCTCAAATGAGTCTAATACCTCAAGTGGAGAGCCAGAAGTCAGAAATTTATCTGTCAGCTCTCTACACAGTTTTTAAAAATTCTTTCGGAGGTAGGGGTATTGCTGGCTAGACCATTTATTGAACGTCACTAATCAGCTTTGAACTGCTTGTGGTGAGCTGCTCTCTGAACTGTTGGAACCAATGGAGGTTCCACGAACTCTACCAAACTCTGCAATGTTAGCATTCATTTCAAGAGGTCTAGAATACAAGAGCAGGGATGTATTCCTGAGACTGTATAAGGCTCTGGTCAGATTGCATTTGGAATATCATGAGTAGTTTTGAACCCTGTATCTAAGGAAGGGTATGCTGGCCTTGGAGGACCTAAGAATGAAGTGCTTGTCATATGTGCAGCAGCTGAGTACTCTGGATCTGTGTGATGGAGTCTAGAAGGATGATGGAGATCTTAGTGAAACTTAAAGAACAATGAGATGCCTGGATATAGTGGCCATGGACAGCAAACAGATAAATAGGTTCCTGATGAGTAAAAGGATCAAGCATCACAGGGAGAAGGCAGCAGAAAGGGGTGGGGGTGGGGAGGGAGCGGGGGTGAGAAACGTATCAGCTATGATTGAATAGCAGAGCAGACTCAAATGGGCAGAACGGCCTAATTTTGCTGCTATATCTTATGGTCATAAAGAATATATTGGTGATACAAGTTTTAACTCAATTGTAAAACGGTGGTGGCTTTGGATGTTTTTCTGAATGGAAGCTATGTGCCTGTTTATTGCATTTTGTCTGTAAACCCAAATAATCTGCAGGTAATAAAAATGATATACAAATTTATGATGGCTTCTCTCAGTTATTCCCTGAGAGAAAAAGTGTCTTTGAAGGTCTACAGGGGTGTAGTAACTGCCGTGATAAGGTAAAACGAAAAACGTACGGGCCTTGTTTTGAATACAGGCTGATGCTTCAAGGAATGGACCACTACTTACGCGACATTTTCACCAGATCGATATTTATTCATTAATTTGTCAGAAGAGAAAATTCAGAGAGCCACTAACTACAATGGCTATCCTATCAACATAACTGAAAAAGGACAGGAATAGGACATCTAGCTCACTCTGCCATTCACGGGGAGACCATGATGTCATGGTCAAGCCATTAGATTAGTTGGCTGGCATTCTGGTTCAAATCCTACTAGTAGCCCTGGTGAAATTTTTAAAAATAATTGATTAGATTTGGAATTGAAAGTTAGTCCCAGTAAGGTGATCACAAAACTATAATCTATTGTCGACGTTCTATTGTCATAGAAGCCCACCTGGTTAACTAATGTCTTTTAGGAAAGGAAAACATACCGTCCATATATGATCTGGCCTACTTGTGACTATGGACCCACTGCAATGAGGTTGACACTTACCAGTTGTCTCAAATGGAGTAGTGAGCCACTTAGTACAAGTGCAGTTAAGGATGGGTGACAAATGCTGGTGTCGATGTGACAAAAATGAAGGGTAAAAAAATAAAAATAAAAATGAAATAAGAATCAATAAGCTCAGGACTGACCAGACATAGCTTTAAATCCCCTCTCTTGTCGACTTAAATGAGCATTGTCTCCCTTCTTATCAAATGGCAGAGCATGTGCAAGGGGCCAGAAAGTTCATGGTGGCTACTTTGACAGCGGTAATGCATGTTGACATCATTCTCCAACACTGGAGCTGCAGCAGATTCTCCCTTCTGTTTAACTGAGCTCAATCATAATTCACCATTTCAACTTTTAACCTTGTCTAAACACAACCAGCAGCAGGATTACTTTTCCCTTTAAACAAGAAATAAATTCTCTCATCTTTCATTTGTAAACGTTTCAGCTTCCAGTGAACATACGAGTCAGCATCTAGAACTGCCATCCCTCACAATGCATGACCATTGACTGAAAAGTCCTTCTGCTGTTAGACCCACAAAATAAAGCGAGAGTTTCTGTGAAATGGAAAAAAGCCTAGATCCCTCACCCCAAATACAAATGGGTTTCCAGTTCTTTTTAAAGGAATTAAAATATCTATGTGGTTGTTTAAAAAAATACCATTAGCTTTGCTTTGAACAAATGGGTAATTATAATTGGTGTTATTTGTTTTGCATCAATTAAAATTCTGAACTTTAAGACTCGTTTATACTCCTAATAAATGGATTTTTCAAACCTTACTCTCTTCACCAGGAAGAGAACTTCAGAACTCCCAATGCACCAGTGTGATATTTATACTCTCCCTACCTGCATTATTGAGTTCAAGAAAGTCTTCCACTTGCATTCAATTGCAGACACCTAATGACCAACCTACACCATCTGCTTAAGCAGGTTGAGGTTGGCCAGTATCTTGCCATGCAGCACCCTTAGCGCGAAATCATCATTCCATAGATGTGGAATGGATTTAAATCTAGGTGCCAGTAAAAATGCAATGCAACTAACAAACATTCCTTCCCCAGTTCACTAACAATATTGTTGCAGAATGCTATAGATTAAAATCAGTCATTTTGCTTTGGATGGACCTCGCAAAAGCTGAGCAGTGACTGAGCTCAGAATGTAGCAACCAACCCTCCAAAGGGAAAAATCAAGTGGATCTTCAAAGTCACCTCTGAGCAGCCAACCAGGAAAGCAGCAGAAACCTTGAACAAAGGGCTCATTTTGATGATCAGATTATAGGTCAGTAAAGTCACCAGAGTCCCAGAGGACCATTAGGCTGCTCTCTCATTAGAGACACACGACTGCGGTTCAGCTTAACCGGAGGGTTGCTATGCCTCAGAGACAAGGGGCGAGGTTGAGAAGGCAGAACCTTCAAGGTGACCTTAGCTGGGGTTGATTAGCTCAGTTGGCTGGATGGCTGGTTTGCGATACAGCATGACTCCAATGGCGTGGGTTCCGTCCCCGTACCAGGAATTCCAGACCCTCAGGTTAAACACACCAACAGCCCTATGGTGCCCTGGGACTTTACTATGATGGTTGACAAAGACAAATGGGAGAGTTATCTTGATGCAATATAAAAGCCTCACTTGAAACATTAAAATCAGAAATTCAATTACCTCGTTCCTCCTCCGTCAATAGTCAGAACTCTAATGCCACGGCCTTTTATCGGGTCTGTATATCCAATCAAAGCCAGGGCCTCCCTGACTGCGTTCTGAAGAGTTTCATTATTTGCTTGCCTCAATCGTAGCAAGCAAGGAATTATCTTCTCCTGTTTTGAAAGGATAAGACCATCTTAAAAACTCAAAGTCTTCATTACAAGATTTAAAGCAAATATTTAACATGATTAAAAAGGTAGTATGGTTAGCAATTCTTGCTAAAATAGAAATATCCATGAAAAAAAGTGGCTTGTACTTACCCACTGTCAGCTCTCCAGGGAAGTTACTTAAGTATTCCAATGTGTTCTGCAGCATGTAATAACAGCATCTAATATACTACAATTAAATTTAGCTTTTTTTTTTACTGGAAAAGATATTTAAAAGCTCATTCCAACTTTAACTGTAGGTCTATTTTGAGCAGATTGAGCAGTAATGTTAGCATTTTAACTGCCATGCCTAATCAATCATTGACAGCCAACTAGACAGGAAGTTGACAGGAAATTCCCACTGAGGGCTACATTGCAACTTGCTATTGTTTACAACTGAACAATCCAAGATAAATCACTTTTTGTTTACGTGATGAAATCGTGCATTTTCAAAGTATGTGAACATTATATTCAGTGGAAAATTTGGAGTACTAGCCTGTTCAAACAAGGTCATAAAAATTGCCTCTTTCTTCAAAAGTTAGACTTGTATAATTTGCTGTTCTTTTGTGAACTAACTAAACCGCTGAAAATATTACTAGCAAATCAAATATTAGTCAGGTGTATACGGCAATGAGATTGAAACCTCTATTATCATTATTTTGTTAGAAGTAGCCAACTCTTTGCTTGAAGTCATCATCAATTTTTCCAAGTTTGCCCATTTATTTAATCCACTGGCACTCAGCAAGGAACTTGAAACAAAATAATACGGCATTCCACAGGCACATGCATGAATGTAAAGTCAGGATGGGAAAAGGGCCATTGTTAGGAACAACAGTGACAGTGAAATGTCAGACATATTAAATAAACACTTCCTTTCAGGACTTAGAGGCAGAAGACATCAGAAATAGTCACTAAAAATTCTATAGTTACATTAATATAGGAGAAATATCAAATAAATGACTCAAATTTCTCTACTTCAGATGGACACATGTATTAATCTATATTTAATAAACTAGCAGAATGGGCAAACAAGTGGCAAAAAAAGTCAAATGCAGTTTGAAGTGAGAGGTGTTACATTTTGAGAAAAAAGACAATTAACTAACTGGACTGGATATGCAAAAGGATTTGAGAGTGCGAATGCACAAAACTTTTAACGCAGGTTAATTATGACATAACAAAAGTAATCAAAGTTCCAGGGTTTATTTCTAGAATTGAAAAGCAAAATAGCTTTGCTAAATACATGCCAAATATTGGGAGTACCATGTATAGTTCTGCTCATTATTTTAACGATAAGGAGAGGCAGTGGAGAAGATGTAAAATAGAATTACAAACGTGACACCACAGTGCAAGATTGTATCCATCACCAAAAGATGAACGAAAGGACTTTCTACCCGAGAAGAGAAGGCTAAAAGCAGCCAAATTGAAATCTGGAAACTTATGAAAGGTTCCGATAAATTGGCACAAGCATTGCCCCTCATGGATGGGAAGGAAAACTAAAGGCCACTAAAATGAGGCAGTCACCAAAATAGAAATCAAATGAGCAAGAACCTACCTTACTCAGCAGAGTGGCAAGAATATGGAACTCACCAACAAAGTTGAGCGAACTAAAACAGATGTATTTGCAGGGAGGTTGGACGAGTATATGAGGGAGAAGAAATTCTACGTTATTGAACATTGTAATAAGGTGAAAAAGGAGGAGTGGGGTAAGAGATTGTAATCAAGAACATTTGAACATGTGCAGCTTGATTCTAATCTAACAGTCTGGTTTCATCACTACATATTACTCAGATGATTATGTGCACTAGTTGCAGTTCTTGTAGCCATTTGCACTTTACCCTGCCAGTATGAAGCTCAAATGTTGATTTCAAGACAGGATTCAACTTTTTTTTTTAAAAAAGGACAAAAGATATAATTAAGTATACTGTTGGGTGCTTTCATTCAACTAAACAGCTGACCCACAACTCATGAATTATAATTTATCAAAATCCTAATGACAGCAATTATAATTGAGAGTATTCACAGTGTTTAGAATGTCATCAGCAGTCATCATTCCATTCAAAAGTTCTAGACCAACTTTCCCACATTAACTGGATGATGCCTATCTGTTCATTTTTCAAAACGCTTTTTCCACATCTCACACTGTGGTTTTGGTCTATCTGTAGTTGCACATTCTGACCACATCGTGGAGCACTCAAGAGTCCTCTCAGTTTGGAATCACATGGCCTGAATGTATGTGAACACATACTGAGCAAACAAGTGACTCATTAACAAAGTTTAAAACAATACTTCATCTACAGATATTGTCAATTTTGTTTATTTCCCTTCCCTTTCTGTAAGGGGCATGTTCACTTCCCCACCCTGATTTCTTGCACAGCCAATCAGGTTTTCATATTCTCATCCCAGCTTGATATTTTTCACATTAACTCGAACATTAAAATATAAAATGCATATAATTTGAATTGAAATTAGTGAGTGTGTCTGCATCATATTAATATTTTACATTAGTAACTCACCTACTGACACCCCGACACTCAACCACCAGCTCCAACTAACAAGTCAGGAGTGTGATGGGATACTCCTCACTTGCCCTGGATGGGTGCAGCCCCAACAACACTCAAGAAGCTTGACACCATCCAGGATAAAGCAGCCCGCTTGATTGGCACGAAATCCACAAGCATCCACTCCCTCCACCACTGACGCTCAGTAGCAGCAGCGTGTACTATCTACAAGATGCACTGCAGAAATTCAAAGATCCTCAGACAGCACCTTCCAAAACCAAAACCACTTCCATATAGAAGGATAAGAGCAGCAGATCCATGGGAACACCGTCACCCGTAAGTTCCCCTCCAAGCCACTCACCATTCTGACTCAGAAATATATTGCCGTTCCTTCACTGTCATTAAGTCAAATTCTGGAATTCCCTCCCTAATGGCATTACGGGTCAACCCACAGCAAATAGACTGAAGTGGTACAAGGGAGCTACCACCACCTTCTCAATGGCAACTAAGGATCGGCAATAAATGATGCCCACACCCCACAAATGAATTTTAAGAAAAGGTTTTAGCTGAGGTTTTAAACGAGTGCTTTACATATGCATTCACAATAGAGAAGGACAAATGTAGGTGCAGAAATCAGGGAGGGTGTCTGTTATATATTTGAATGAATTAGCATGACAGGGAGGAGGTTTTATCAGATTTGAACGTGACTAAATCCCTAGGCCCAGATGAAGGAAGCAAGGGAGAGATTGCAAGGGCACAGTCATTAATTTCCAAATCCTCTTTAGTCACAGGAGGGGTGTCAGAGGATTCAGGACAGCTCATGTGGCATCAAGATTCAAGAAAAGGTGGTATAGATAAACCAGGAAACTACAGATTAGTGAGTCTAACATCTGTGGCAAGGAATCCACTGCAAAAAGAAAAAAATCAGAGGGGTAGGATTAATCTCCACTTAGACTATGGGATGTTATAGCCTTGGATATGAGATGTTATAGACAGGCCGAACAGTGGAAAATGAAACAATGCAGAGATGTGCGAAATAATGCATTTTGGAAGGGTGACAAGGCAAGGGAGTATACATTTAATGATAGGACCCTAGGAAGTACAGAGGATCAGAAGGATGTTGGTGTGGATGACCATCGATTCCTGAAGGCAGCAGGACAGGTAGATAAGATTGTTAAGGCACTAAGGGATAGTTGCCTTTATTAATCAGGGAATTGAATATAAGAGCAAGGAGCAAATGATGGAATTACATATGTAATAGTAGCTAGGCCACAGCTGAAGCACTATGTGCAATCCTGGTCACTGGAAGGATGTGAATGTACTGGACAGGGAACAGAAGAGATTCACCAGGATGTTGCCTGGTCTGGAGTGATTCAGCTACGAAGAGAAACAAGATATTAAATTGGAAAGGGTGCAGAAAACTTCTACAAGGATGTTACCGGGTCTGAAGGGTTTGAGTCATAAGGAGAGGCTGGATATGCTGGGACTTCCGAGTAGGAGGTTGAGGGGTTACCTTATAAAGGTTTATAAAATCATCAGGGGCATGGATAGGATGAATAGCCAAGGTATTTTCCCCAATGTCGGGGAGTCCAAAATGAAAGGGCATAGTTTAAGATAAGAGGGGAAAGATTTAATTGGGACCTCAGGGGCAGCTTTTTCACACAGAGGGTGATGTGTGTATGGCATGAGCTGCTAGAGGAAATAGTGGAGGCTGGTACAATTATAACATTTAAAAGACATCTGAATGGGCACATGAATAGAAAGGGTAGAAAGGGTTTAAAGGGACACGGGCCAAATGCTGACAAAAAGGATGAGATTAATTTAGGATATCAGTTGGTATTGACGAGTTGGACAAGGCAGTCTGCTTCCATGCTATACAATTATACGACAAATAGATAAATTGAGGGTATTTTCCTTAAAGTAGAGAAGGCCGAGAAGGAATCCGATTGAGGTGTACAAAGTTCTGAGGCGCTGAGACAAGGCAAGTAGAGAAAAACCTTTCCCCTTAGCAGAGGCAACAATAATGGAGGGAATCCAGTTTTAAGGCAAGGAGCAGGATTGGAGGGACAACAAAAAACTATTCAACCAGAAGGTTCTGGGTATCTGGCACGCGCTGCCTAAAAGGGGCAGTAGCCCTCAAGACTTTTAAGAGCTAAGATGAACACTCAAAACATCCACGGCTATTGGCTAAATGCCAGAAAGTGGGACAGAAATGACATGATGGGATGTATCATAGAATATGAAAAGTAGTAGCTATCTTCCAACAGTCTTTACAGGAATGGAAAACTGCCATTATTTATAAAAGGAAGGAGACAAAAATAAAGTAACTGCAAGCCAGTTAGCTTAACATACTATTGTGAAAACGTTGGTCAATTACGAAGGACATAATAGCAGAGTACTTAAAATACATAGCATGATCAAGCAGAGTCAGCACAGCTCCATGAAAGGGAAATTATGCCTGACATACTTATTAGAATTTTTGATAAGGCAAAGCAACATAGATTAAAAAAAAAATAAACCCCTTATTCTGAGTTTATCCCCTCAGGTCCCAGACTCTCCCACAAGGGAGAAACAACCTTTCCACATCTTCCCTGTTAAGACCCCAGGAATCTTGTATGTTTCAATAAGGTTGCCTCCTATTCATCTCAACTTCAATGAGTACAGGCCCACCCAACGGTGTCTCAATGGTTAGCACTACCGTCTCACAGCCATGGGTGACTGTTTGTGTAGAGTTTGCACATTCTCCCCGTATCTGTATGAGATTCCTCACACAGCCCAAAGATGTGCAGGCTAGGTGGATTAGCCATGGGAAATGCAGGGTTACAGGGATAGGGTGGGCCTGGGAGGGATGCTCTTCAGAAAGTCAGTGCGGACTGACGGGCTGAATGGCCTACTTGCACATTGAGATTTCCATGATCTTCTCCTGAGATAAGGGACCCAAAGTTTTTCATTCTGGTCTGATCTGACCAGTGTTTTGTATAGTTTTAGCAAAACTTCCCTATTTTTGTGCCAGATTCCCTTTGAAATAAAGGTCAACATTCTATTTACTTTCCCTATTACCAGCTGAACTTGTATGCTTTTTGAAAGTCATGCAAGAGACTTCCAAAACCCTCTGCGGTGCAGCTGTCTGTATATTTATATAATATTCAGCTCCTCTTCTTCCTGCCAATGTGCAAAACCTCACATGTCCCATATTACATCCCATCTGGCAAGTTCTGTCCATTTACTTAATCTTCTTATATCCCTCTGCAGACTCTTATCATCACCACTTGCCTTCCCACCTATTTTTGTGCCATCTACAAAATGTGACACAGTACATTCATTTTCTTCATCTATGTCATCAATACACATTGTAAATAATTGCAGCCTCCGTACTGATCCCTGTGGTAGACCACTAGCTACACGTTCCAATCCTGAAAATGCACCCTTTATCCCAACTCCCCGTCTTCTATTAGTTTACCAGTCCTCCAACCATGCTAATATCCAGCTTGGAATCAATACTATAGTTTGTTTCAACACCCTATGTACAATGCCACAGGAGGTCAATTAGTGCATACTTGACACCTATGGGAAATGGCTTCGTGTTCAATTCCTCTCTGGTGTGTAGTGGAACAAAGCAATGAGTTGGTGGTGGTGGCGTTGGCATTGGGAGGGTGGGGTTACAGGGTTTCTTTTATGTTGGAGTTCAAAGAGTCCCACAATGCAAATTTCAACAAACTCATTTGAATAAAACAAAGAAGAATGGCAGCCTCTCATTTACTTTGACAGCCACAGCCCGGGTTTCTGGAAATTCCAGGAGGTGGTAATTCAGCTCTTCAACTCGATTAATATACACCCTGACATCCGAGGCTCTGTGTAACGCTTGCACCAAAGCTCTTGTCCGGTTGTCTACACTGAACTTAGCGATGATCTAGAAAGGGAAAAAAAAAAGTGATAACGCAATGACTGGAGAGATAAAAACATGTCACAGCAATTCTCCTGGACTTTGGGGGGTCTTGGTCATGTAACTTTATTCTGTATTTTTACCCAAGTTAAAATGTTGGAAAATCGTGACAATCTTAAGTTAAGCAAATCAAGCAAAGTCATAGACAATATCAAATTACAGGAACAGCTGAAGATCCTTCAAAACGAGTTAAGTCAATGCATTGTCTCATAGCAAATAGAGCTGACTACAGAAAAAACAAACTATGTTAAATGGAAAAATGTACCCACATGCATCAAAATACTGGGCAATGAAACGGTGACATCATTAAACGTGAAAATTTTAGGCTTATTGCTAGAAACAAAAGTTGAATTGTCTGCTGAACCAAAGTGACAGAGTGCACCATGCACCATGCACAAGAAAGCCAAAACCATGGGAGGAGCTATAAACAGACAGATTGCTACAATCAATCACAGATTGCTACCGCTATAGTTATGACCCAGTAATCCCATTTGCCGGTGGAGAGCTTGTTTTTTTAAATTCCCCGTTGTATTTCTTGGTGACTATCTTACATCGATGGTCTCAAGCGCTTTTCCCCAGCCACAAAGGAAACACAGATCTTCCAATCCCCACAGGGTTGAATGCAGAGGCCCTGCTGACAGCCACCACGGCACAGCAGGTGCCAGGGAACTAGCTTACACTAAAACACTGGAAATCGCTCCTTGTGAACCCACACAGATTATTCTGTTGAGGACCATAACCGCTTTCCTAGTACCAACAGCAACTATTTTTACAGAATCATTTAGGAATGCTCCTTGTTTGCACAAATCCTGCTCCAGGCCTACTGCCTCTTAAAGTACACTGTCACTCCAGCATCATTAGACCAACCTCCAAATCCCCTTCCCCCACCACCCTTCCAACTCTCACCTGTGTCCACTTTACTCTAGAGTCTTGTGGCACAGCGGTCGTGGCCATACCTCTGCACCAGAAGGACCAGGTTCAGTACCACCTGCCACAAATATGTTTCATAACATGTCTGAACAGAACAGAATTATTCTGATTAGAATAATTACCTTTACAAGCAGATTCCTGGATTTCTCCACAAATACAGTACTCAGTGTCACTGCATTCCATTAATAAAACAAGATTATGAGCTCAAACCTGCAATCTTATAATTTAGAACATGCCATCCACTGAATGGAGCTCAGAATATTTAATGATCATCCAGAACAATTACAGTAACTATCGTGGAAGTCCGATGTAAAATGGAAGGTGGGATCCAAGAACTGAAACCACATTACAGCTGAACTTCTTCGGTAATCAAAATTTAAAAAAAAAAAAAAAAAAAAAAAAAAAAAAATATCGGTCTTAGTTCTGGTCAGGTAGATGTATAATACTGTGATAAAACCCATCTGATTTATACGACAGTTGAACTTATTTATTTAAAACATTTACTGTTGCAAAGAGAGACTTCAGTTATTTCATTCATGGATGAATCTGAGCAGAATCATCCCTCTCAAGTGATCACGGGAGCAGTGCCATCCATGAGGTGAGATTTAAAAGTTCATGTGAATAACAGTTGTAAAATTCTTTTTACAGTGAATGGAGCACTGAAATATATGCTGCAGTTAGATAACATCTTTGGTGCAACAGAAGTGGTGCAATTACATTGCGATAACAAGATTGATCAAAATAACAAAGGGCAGCATGGTGGCTCAGCAGTTAGCACTGCTGCCTCACAGCGCCAGGGACCTGGATTTGATTCCAGCCTCAGGCATCTGTGTGGCATTTGCACATTCCACCCACGTCAGCGTGGGTTTCCTCTGGGTATTCCAGTTTCCTTGTACAGTCGAAAGATGTGGATAGGGTTAGGGTTAAGTGGATTGCCCATGGTAAATTATCCCGTAGTGTCCAGGGATGTGTCGGTTGGTTGAATTAGCCATGGGACATGCAGGATTACAGGGATAGGGTTGAGGTGTGGATCTGGGTAGGATGCTCGTCAGAGGGTCAGTATGGACTCAATGGGCTGAATGGCCCGCTTCCACACTGTAGGGATTCTATGAAAGAAACAATCCTTAAAATGCTGAACGAGGTGCAGATAGACTCATCCGGATATTTTTTCCCAAAATCAAGAGCCTCGAATTCTCCACGCTATCATCAAACTTGGGGTGTATCAATTCACATTATAGTCATGCATTTGAAGTCCGATTAAACTTCATGGGGTGGGAGTTACCAAGAGGGTGTAGTGGTAGGAAATCATATTCTTTTTGGAGCTGAGGGTGATTACAGAATGAGTCTTCAACCTGCGATGCCAGATGTAAGCGAAACTGTACGGCAAGTAGATGGGCACCTATCCATCAGAGCGTGAATGATGACTGAATAGCCATATTGGCCCTTATTTGCTTCTGGCGGTGTGCGTCTCAGAGCTCACTGGCGTTAGACAAGTCAATAATGTTTGTCCAAACTAAATGAGTGGTCACCCATTTAAAACAAGCTGAAATTTGACCTGTGCGCGTATTTCAATTGTTTGCTTTGGAGAATCATGTATGTTTTTGTGGCGATTATGTAACCCAAACAGAACCCATCTGACTTCTGTGACAACTGAATTTAGTTATTTAAAACATTTACTATGCAAATAGAGACTGATTGAGCAATCAAGCCTTTATATTCCAGTTCATAAATCATGAAAATGTAATTTGAGTAGTTTAGCAAATTCAATATTCATGCTAAAAATGTTAAAGGTTAAAAAGTACAGCAAGAAAACTGGAAATCAAAATTACAGAAAGGTGACAGTAAAGAGAGGGCAACCTTTAGGCTTCATCATCAGGCCCAAGATAAAGAAAATCATTTTGTATGGATGAGGTGAAGCAACTTCAGAGCATTACCTTTTCTCGCTGAAGACTCAGATGCTTGGCTTTATCATCCATTGGCTTGGTTTCTTTCTCATTAGCTTGCTCCACATCTTTGCCTGCACTTACATCTTTCTGCTTTTTATTCTTGACTTCAGAATTCTCCTTCATTTCAACACGCAGCTTGGGGACAAAACTGCCAAAGCAAGTATCCACAAATGCTTGGACACTGTTTGTTGGGTATGAAAGTAAATTAGCAAAACTCTTTTTTGTAGATGGAGTTGGAGGAGATTCGCCAAGCACAGTGGTATGAGCACTGCATGTATTTAAATGATCAATATTTTGCTTGACTGTTCCATCGTCTTTTGATTGAAAAGATGCTGTCCATGTGGGATCTGTCCCAGTCCCAGTCCCAGGATCACACGAAGGAAATTTATCTTGCTTCTCTATATCTGCCTGTCCTGCGTTCCCAAAATAACTGTTGATATGGTTTGCCAAAAAGTTATATGTTTCTCCAAAATTTGTAGCAATATAGCTGATGTGGAAAAGATTTGATCTTCCATCATTCTCTTTATCACAGTTACTGGATGGTTCCTTTGAATTATCTTCAGGTTCCAGGCTAAGAGAAGATGTGGAAACTGAGTGGACGGAATTCTCTATTAACCGGTTCAGATCTGAAGCGTCCTCAACTTGACCAGGCTTGGAAGTGGTTCCTTTCCTTGAGTTTTCACGTGGCACCCCTACCTGGGTTTCTGAAAATTTCTCCGAGATACTAAGAGTTGGTTTCAATCGTACAAGTTTTCCAATGAGCTCAGTGTGTGTGTTACTGACGGCTTTTGACACAGAGTCTAAAGTGCTCTTGATTCGCGACATGCGATGCCTCAGGGGGCTATACCCTTTGGAGGAGAGGTACTGTTGTGCAGTGCAGGAAAAAAACAAAGTCTATGCCTTTAAGCTAGTTCTCTATTAAATGCTATGCGTCTTTGTTTCTATTTTCAGTGAATGTGCATGAGGATTGCTTGGGCCCTTTTTAACTATGTGGTTTCTGTTTCAATGAAATAGTCTCAAATGTCTCGAATTATCTATTTGCACAGTAAGTCTCAAGTGAGCTGTCGTCTTAGATAACAACCTAACTGAAGGCTTTGCACCATTTGGAATACACAGATAGGTTTTTCAAGATGCAAACTCAGGCGTAACTGGGAGGCTGCAGAGCTTCCACAATGATCCTGTGCTTTGTACATCACCTGGTCTTGCGCTCTGTTTCTGAAAAATAGAACAAATATCAATTGTGGATTGTTTTATTTAAATAAAACAGAATGGTCTCTACAAAATAGCTTTAACGAAAGTGCAAATTCTCTTTGTAATTGAAATCATAGAAAAATAGCACGTGGATCACTGCTTTCAGGTTGTTTTGTTAACGGGATTACAACATGTGAACTTAAGTTCACCAAAACACTGGAGCAACTTAATATGCTGGCACCAATAAGGGAAAAAGAATAAAATCTCAAGTCAATATATTCTCATGTTTTAAAACAAAACTCAAAATACTCTCACCACTGGGTAAAGCCTGTACATAGAGATATCTGAACTTTGTGCCATTGAGCCGAAACTAGCTGTAATTTAATGTCTGATCTCAGTCACACTGACACAAGAATTACACACACAATATTCTGCTTCACTGAAATTGCAGTGACATTCTCCCTTCTTAAAGGTGCCGGCCATTACAATCCTTCATGTCATTACTGAACTCAACTCTCACAACACAGTATTAAGTCATTTCTGTCTTAGGCAGACTGCTGAAGTCCTCCTTTGTGGAAGGACATTTTGTAATTCAGTGTAACAATCCTTAAGAACAAACATTAGTTGATGATTGGTCACTGAAAAACTCAGTTGAATTGCTGTTAATGATGGTGTGTACCAATTGCCCGATGATAAATTAAGGAAAGCTCTTATTGAAAAATGGCCACTGCAAATCAGCTTGTTTGAAATATACTAACATTCTTACATGTAATACATATTTTTCTTTGGCTATAAACTAGATTTCTCACTGGTTGAGAGCTTGGACACTTCATTTTTATAGCTTCAATTGCTCAAAACAAAATTTCAACCCAGTTCTTGATAGCAGTTCACATCAGAAACTTACAAAAATTAGTGCAGAAAAACAGCCTCAGCTGGATTTCCATTTTCAAGGTTCAAACCTGGCTCTTATACCATTGCAGAGGTTCAGAATGCATATAATCAGCACTGCCAGTAAGATATTCACCAGCATGTGCTTGATACACAAAGTTTACTTACCATACCTCTTTGAACTGCAAATACCACCCAGCGGTACAATTACAAATGTTGTAACTTGTTTGGTGAGAGAGCACTTTGGAGCAGTCCTTACTCTCTAATGAAGGACACATTGAATGAAATGCTACAAGTCTTTGCACTGATACAGATAGTCATAAGAAATTTGGTGACAAAAAAAAAGCACCGTATACTTAATTGATTACTTCACCTCATACTGGTTAGCTCAGTTGGCTGGACAGCTGACTTACAACGCAGAGTGATGCCAACAGCATGGGATCAATTCCTGAACTGGCTGAGATTGAGGACGCTCCTTCTCAATCTCTCCCCTCATCTGAATTTAAACCACCGTCAGTCGCCCCTCTCTCTCTCTCAAATGACAGCGTGTCACTACAGTCTATATCACATGGATCACTGCTTTCAGGTTGTTATGTAAAAGGGATTAAAACATGCAAACTTATATTCAGCGTTATCACTGGAGCAACTTAACTTTGGCGACTTTAACTTTACTTCTACAAAAGCACTGAAGCCTAATGAAACCAATCCAAGGTTCTGGTTTGCATCGAGATCATGTGCTTTGCTCTCCATATTCCTGATGCTGAATTGAACAAGAAAAATACAAGCACAGTACAGAAGCAAGACTGTAAACAATAGAGTATCAAACATAGTAACAGAAAATGTTAACAATTCAGAACAAGTCACTGAACAGAATAACTTGGAACTCCTTTTGACAACCACCCCAAAGGGAAACCAGAGTTCACCTTTTCAGACCATTTCCAGCATATTTAGTTCACATTTCAGGCACACATCTCATGCTCCTCAAACAAGGGAAATGGAACAGTGGCTTTGATGACATTGAACAATAAACAGGAACTCTAGAGGGAACAGGTCTTTAGTAATGCTTGCAAAATAATTAATGCTTGGGATAAGTTTATAAAAAAGCTTCCTTCACTTTAAAACTTTCCTCTTTCAATTGCCGCAAGAGTCTGACTCATTCTCATAAACTCTACCAGAGTATGGCCCTTGCCTTCATGAGTCACAGTACATATGGAGTGATCACCACAACAGGCAGCAGAGGCAAGCGTCATTTTCTTCTTGAGTTCTTGCTGCCCGAGGGCACGTCCAATCTACAGCCCCACATCCCCACGGTAGGGAGGCTGGTCCAAATCCACCCCAGCCAGATGTCTAGTTCTGAAGAAGGGTCACTGGACTGGAAACATCAACACTATTTTCTCTCCATAGATGCTGCCAGACCTGCTGAGTTTCTGTTTTTGTTTGATGCTGTCATAAGATTGCGATCAGTGAACAATGAGAGCAAAGTTCCACTGGTTTATAAAAGTCAACATAAATGCAGCCTTTTCAAGAGATGAATCTTGAATCCAGTCAAATTGTCAAGAGAATTAAAATTGTAAGTCATCTTCCATAGTTCAGAGATTCACCAGCAATTTACAGTTCATAATATCTTGTGATTATGAAGAAAAACATTGAAGGCAGCAAATGCCTGATTGTACTGTAGTAAATTAGGTTGAAAAGCTTGATGGAATCTGATTGTAGGAGGCAAAACAAATTCAAAATACTGATGTATTCATATATCAACGGATCACAGTCAAAGCATCTTCCCACTAGCACGCTGGGAGTCATTCTATGATCTATCCTTCATTTCAATGCTCCGCATCTATACCATCATCTACAGACAATATTAGCTTCCACATTTTCCAGTAACAGCCTAGTCTATTTTTCGACCACGACTTCTGTGATTTCAGGCTACTTTGCTGACATCTAGTCTTCAATAATTTCTGAGAGTTAAACATTGGGAACACCAAGGCTATCATCTTCCCCTGACGCAGATTCAATACTCCTCAATAAGAGGCCACCTCTGATATAACAAGGTAATGAGATACAAAATCTGGATCTCCATTATACTGCGCATGATCAAAGTTGTTACATGAGAGTAAACATATCAAATATATAGTACATTCACACTGAAGGTTGTGGTTATTTTCATTGTTAATTGGTTTCCAATAAAAAAAAGAGAAATATTGATGATACACCTCAAACATCATCCCAAAAACAGAAGTAATTTTTAAAAATTTATGAAAAGCAAAATACAGTCCCCTTAATTCCTAGAAATATGCTCAATATGCTGTCTGAACCAGACTAACAAGTGTACCAGTTAGGACACTGAGATCGATCTCAACACCCCTCCCAAACCAAAGGGGGATGTGGGTGGTTGGTTAGTAGGGATTGGTGGTTTGGGTGGAGTTGGGGTGGGGGGCTTGGAGATATGAACCACTAGGGTTACTTTCTCAGGCCTGCATGCATGGAAGCCAAATGAGACATGAATTGGCCTCATCAGTTGTCAAATGCAGCAAGGCAAATGAAAATGATAAGTATCGATAATGTATGAGTGACAGGAGACATCATGTGTGACTTTAATCAAAGCCATTCCCATGCTGTGGCAGTGGCAAAAGTCTGAATACCAAGAATTAAAGAAGTTTTTTACAAAAGGCATTTGAGTCAGTCTGTTAAGGCTATTTAATAAGAGTTCAAGGCTATGGGAGTAGGAAACTAGAATTGTTAGATAGGCTAACTAATCAAACACAGTTGGCATTGGGGGGCATTTTCAAGACTGCAACATGCAATGAGTGGAGTGTTGCAGGGTTAGGTGCTGGTGCAACAATTATTTACAATATCTAATTGACTTGGATGAGGAATACACTATAGCCAAGTTTATGGACGACACAAAAGTGGGTGGAAGGCGTGTGGTGATGGTGATACACACAGTCTGCAAAGGGATATAAATAGATTAAGTGAGTGTGCAAATATGTGGCTATTGGAATATGGGGGAAAACGTGAGGTTACGCATTTTGGCAGAAAGAACAGAGGAACTGAATATTTTTTAAATGCAAAAAGACTTCTAGTGGAAAAAAACTCCCAGCCAATCCAGCCTCTCCCTGTAACTCAACACCTCCAGTTCTAGCAACATTCCAGTAAATCTTTTCTGAACCCTGTCCAATTTAATAATATCTTTCCTATAGCAGGGCAACTAGAACTGTACACAGTACTCTCACAAAAAGCTGGCATACCAGTTCAGTGGGTCATAAGGAAGGCAAATAGCATGTTGCTCTTTATTTCAAAGGAAATGGAGTATAAAGATAGGGAGCTCTTGCTAAAACTAAACAAAACAATCCGACCACAGCTCAGATGCTATGAAAAGTTTTGGTCCCTTTATCAGTGGAAATATACAGAATATGGACACAGACCAGAGAAGGTTCACTGTTACCTCAACTGGGGAATGATTTTATGAAGAGAGGTTGAGTTGACCTGTTCACACTGCAGTTCAAAAGAGTAAGATAGATGACGTTACTGAAATGCACAAGATTCTTTAACTGCCTTGACAGCGAAAATGCTAAGAGATTGTTCCCCTTTGGGAAGGATCTAGAACCAGAGGTCTTAATCTCAGATCAGTGGTTACCCAGTTAGGATCATGGGGCAAAAGCAGGAAAATGGAGTGGAGACTGATCAGATCAGCCTTTATCTCGCAGAATGGAGAAGCAGCCTCGATGGACCGAATAGCCTACTTCTGCTCTTCAGTCTTATGAACTGCAACAAAGGTGTGCTTCAACTTGAGAGGAGACAAAGCCTCTTCGTAATTTGGGAAGCAAGATCAGAGACAGGCTGCTCTGAACTGCAGAGGCAGTGAAAACTCTCTGCACTGATGGACTGGGGAGGGGGAAGAGAAGGGACTACAGCAGTTAAAAGAAAACTAGGAGGGGTCAGTGTTTGAGCACAGAGACTTCTCCTACAACGTCAGCGGGGGGGGGGCGGAAGTTTTACATTTAGCAGTTTAGGGGCAGTGATACTGAGAAATGTAGGCGGCAGGTGTTCACGGATACGGTGAGCTCGGACAGGCCAGTGAAGTGATGTGAAGAGAAAAAGGGGGGGGGGGGAGGGACAGCGCTTGGACGCGGTACGGCGTCAACCCCGGAGAGCAATGAACCAGCAGCCTCTGGCCGCCGCTGAGCAGAGGGGTAAGTGACACTGGGGGCAGAGGCTGGAAGGTACCTGGGCAATGGGGAGCGGCTCGGGGGATTTGGCAGAGGAGACGGAGACTCTGATGTGTGACAATTCCAGGGAACAGGAGAGCACTGACAGGGTAAGGGGCAGCAAATCCGCCCGGCCTGCGGACTAACCCTCCGTCCGAGAAAGGCCCGAGACAAAACACTTACCCACTCGGTGATCGGACATCATGACCGTCCCACCACCCGACGGCCTTTTAGCAGCTTGTCCGACCTCCCCCGTCCCTGTGCGGAATCCGCGGCCTCCTCGAACCGATCAGGCCGAGGCAACGAGCTCCTGCCGCTGGAAACTGCCAGAGGGTCCACGGCCTGGGCCTGGAGCCGCCTCCTGTCAATCACACCGTAACACACTGTCCTATTGGCCCGAATCAACAGGCCTCCTCCAATCACAGACGGGGAGGACTTCCGGCCGGCCACGCCCATCAGCTGGCTGTGACATCACCGCTGTGGGATGAAGGCAGTCGGTCTCCATGGTAACTAGGTGATGTGTGCAGTACAGTCAGTCTCCATGGTAACCAGGTGGGGTGTGTGGGAGAGTTAGTCTCCATGTAACCAGGTGGCAGCTGTGGGTGAGTCAGTCTCTATGGTAACCAGGTGGAGGGTGTTGGAGAATCAGTCTCCATGGTAACCAGGTGGCAGGTGAGGGAGAGTCAGTCTCCATGGTAACCAGGTGAGGGAGAGTCAGTCTCCACGGTAACTAGGTGGGGAAAGGCAGTCACCATGATGATTGGTTGGAGGAGGCAGGTGGAGCTAGTTTAGTTTGAGATTATGTTCAGCATGGACTGTTTGGATCGAAGGGTCTCTTTTCGGATTGTATGACTCTATATGGGACAGTCAGTCTTCATGGTAAGCAGGTGGAGGATGTGGGGGAGTCGTTCTCCGTAGTTGAAATAACTCCACAGAGGCCAATATCCATCACCAAGTCACCCTTTATTTACACACGAACAATTCTTGACTTTAGTACTGCCTCATTCAGAGTCAGGTACCAGACTGTCATTAGCCCTGACACATTGGTGAGGCTACTTATAGAATACTGCATACAATTCTAGTCACCCTTCAACAGGAAGAATGTTGTTAAACTTGAGAGGATGCTGAAAAGATTTACAAGGGTGTTGCTGAGACTGGAGGATTTTAGTTGTAGGGAGAGGCTGAATAGGCTGGGACTTTTTTCCCTAAAGCATTATTGTCTGAGGAGTAACCTTATAGAGGTTTATAACATCACGAGGAGCATGGATACGGTGAATAACTAAGGTCTTTTTCTTAGGGTGGGGGAGTCCAAAAGTAGAGGGCATAGGTGTAAGGTGAGTTGAAAAAAATTTTAAAAACCCTTGAGGTAACTTTTTCATGCAGAGGGTCGTGCATGTCTGGAACAAGCTGCCAGAGGAAGTGGTGCAGGTGGGTAAAATTTGGGTACATGAAATGGAAAGGGTTCAGAGTAATATGGGCCAAATGCTGGCAAATGCGACTCGGATGATTTGGATATCTGGTTGGCGCAGATGCGTGGACTGAAGGGTCTGTTTCCATGCTGTATGATGCTATGACTCTATGTTAGTCAGACTCTTTGTTTGGACCAGCTTAACAGCCCCAATCGGGGAACTCATATTCTAGGAGGTCCAGCTGGCTGACCCTCATTCCAATCACGACAATACTGGCTGGGTGGAGGATTTGGGAGAATTGCTTTCTATGGTGACCTGGTGGAGAATAAGAGAAATTCAGACCCAATGGTGACCGTGTGGAGGATGTGGTTGTCTATGTCAGGAACCACAGGTGAAGGGAGAGATACTAAACAAATAGTTCACATCAGTATTTCCTGTGGAGAAAGATATGGAGGCTAGGGAACTTGGGAAATAAATATTTATGTCTTGAAAACAGTCCACATTACAGAAGAGTCGGTGCTAGAGGTCTTAAAAAACATAAAGGTGGATAAATGTCCAGGACCTGATCAGGTGTATCCCAGAGCATGGTGGGAAGCCAGGAAAGAAATTGCAGGGCTCCTAACAGAGACATTTATATCATCTACAGCCATGGGTGAGGTGCCAGAGGACTGGAGGGTGGCTAATGTTGTGCCTTTAGATTTTAGATTGTGTTGTCACGTGTACTCAAGTACAAGAATACAATGAAAAGTGTAAAATGTCGCCACACATAGTGCCATCTTAGGTACCAAGGTATCTAGGTACAAAAAACACTTAGGTACAAAGTAGTAAGAGAAACGAGAGTTAAAAAGTTAAGCATTACTTCATAGAATAGCAGAAAATAAAGAAATAGGTAATAGTTTAAACTTAAGTCTTTCGTAGTTTAACTATGAAAATACAGGAATAAGCTAAAAGTTCAACAGTCTTTGATGAGTTCTCCGCTTATCTCGCTCTCTGGGGAGACCTCATCTGTCTGTTCCCAATGCCGCTGCCACAGATGTCATGGCTGCTGCTGAAACTGCTGCCCCTCCGATCTCCCCCAGTGCCTCGGGAACATGCCTGGCCAGGATCCATTCGCATGCCAAGCCAAGACACTGCCATGAGCCCGCCAAGAGACCAGCTGACATACCACCGAGAGTCCAGGCTGAGAGACCAGGCCAAGACCTGCCATGGGGGAGATGAACATCAAGAGGGGGAAAACACCAAAAAGAGGGAGAAAAAGAGAAACCAAGGGGAATAAAGGGAAGGAAACAAGAAATAAACAGAAGGAGTGGAAGGGCTCCGGTTGGAGCGTCCTACTCCGCTCCAACCTGACTGAAATTTTAAGAAAGGCTGCAAGGAGAAGCCTAGGAACTACAGACTGCTGAGCCTGACATCAGTGGTGTGTAAGTTGTTGCATGAAATGCTGACAGGTAGGATTTATATGCATTTGGAGAGGCAAGGACTGATTAGAGATAGTCAACATGGCTTTGTGCATGGGAAATTGTGTCTCACAAACCTGATTAAGTTTTTTTGAGGATGCAACAAAGAAGATGGATGAGGGTAGAGCAGTAGAAATTGGATTTCAGTCAAGCCTTTCACAAAATTCTGCATGGTGGACTGATTGGTAAAGTTAGATCACATGGGATTCAGAGAGATTGAATTGGATACAAAATTAGGTTGACGGTAGGAAAATGGTGGTGCAGGGTTGTTTTTTGGACTGGAAGCCTGTGACCAGCAGTGTTCCACATGGATCAGTGCTGGGTCCACTGTTGTTTGTCATTTATGTAAACTGTTTGGATCAGAATTTAGGAAGCATGGTTAGTAATTTTGCAGATGCCACCAAAATTGATGGTGTAATGGACCGTGAAGAAGGTTATCTAAGTTTACAAAGGGATCTTGGTCAATTGGGACAGTGGGCTGAGGAGCAGCAGATGGAGTTTATTTTGGACAAATGCAAGATATTGCTTTTTGGTAAGAAGAACAAGGGGAGGACAAATACAGTTAAAAGGTAGGGCTCTGGGTAGTGTTGTTGAACAGAGAGACCTAGGAGTTCCGGTACATAGTTCTTTGAAAGTTGCATCACAGGTGGACAGGGTGGTAAAGAAGGCACTTGGCACGTTTGCCTTCATTGCTCAGACCACTGAGTATAGGAGTTGGGATGTCATGTTGCAGTTGTACAGGACATTGATAAGGAGCTTCTGTGTATAGTCTGGCCACCATGCGATGGGAAGATTATAACTAAATTGGAGACAGTGCAGAAGAGATCTACAAGGATGTTGCCAGGATTGGAGGGTTTGAGTTACAAGGAGAGGCGGGATAGGCCAGGACATTTTTCCACTGAATCATAGGAGGTCGAGGTGTGACCTTATAGAGGTTTATAAAATCATGACGGGCACAGATAAGGTGGATAGCAAAGGTCTTTCCCTAGTGTAGGGAAGTCCGAAACTGGAGGGCATATTTTTAAGGTGAGATGAGAAAGATTTAAAAGGGACCTGAGGGGCAACTTCTTCATGCAGAGAGTGGTTCATATGTGGAAAGAATGGCCAGAGGAAGTGGTAGATGCAGGCGCAGTTACAAAATTTAAAAGACATTTGGACAGGTACATGATTAGGAAAGATTTGGAGGGATATGGGCTAAATGTAGGCAAATGGGATTGGTTTAGTTTGGAAAACTTGATCGGCATGGACTAGTTGGACTAAAGGGTCCATTTCCATGCTGGATCACCCTATGACACTATGAATCAATCCCAGTGATGACTGTATTTAGGAGCCTCAGATGTGTTCAAGAGAGTGGAGGACAACACAAAGATTGGTTGAACAAGGCATAGATGGATGATGGATGTCACTGAACAGTTGCAGATGAGCTAGAATGGATATGCAAGGATGATGTAAGACAAGTGTGACATTACATGACAGCAGATCTCCTGGCAGGAGCAGCTACCATCTGCAGCAGCATTGATGGGGAAAATATAAACGCTGTCAGTAGATGAAAAAATATCCAATGTTTCAGCATACAACTCCTGGTTTTAATTAATTTGCCACTTAAAAATCTAACTATATCAAATTCTCAATAGTATCTGCTCAGATCTTATTCAGTGATTAGAGTTTTAAATTTGAGCATTTGGTTCACCAGAGCTAACCTAGAGCAGCATGTATTGGGTAAGTGTGAATTACTACAAGTCACTGTATGTGTTTCTGTGTCAACTAGGGTTCAGTATTTGTGCTCTTACCTTTTAGCCATGGCGGTGTTGCACTGTTGGAGGTGCCCTATTCTGATTGACACATGAACTCGCATCCCATCTGCCCTCTCTGGCAGATGTAAGAGGTCCTATAATATTCTTTTGGAGATGTGAAGGAGTATTCTCCCTTGCACCCTGGTTCAATATTTGATTTATGGTACAACAATTGCTAAAGTTACTAAGTTACAAATGTGACAGAGTTATCAGATAAAATACAGACAATGTTTATAATTAGGGAGAGAAAAGACACTTCTATGGATAAAAGTATAGATAGGGATTGATAAAAGATATTTATAAAGCAAAAGAAAGTTCAGTCCATTAACTTGGCAGACCCATTATTTGCTTGAAGATTTACTTTCCTACTTGAAACAGTCAAAAACTTGAAGTCAGACTCCAACTGGTCCAATAGCTTCTATCATTGAATATTTGGAGATTGTTTGTACAATAAAGTTGGAAAGAAGCCAGACTTAAACATGGAAATTTCTTGTTCCCTTTTAATTCTGGCGTAAAAGCACTTGCAAATTGCTCAGACACCTTTTTGGCAAAACTGTAGTTGATTTCTGATACAAATCTTTTTCTTGCGTTGAGAACTCTTTTCTCTGAGGATATTGCCTCAGACCTTCTTGGAGAAATGCGGTTTAAAAATTTAGTGTCACAGTCTTATATAGTTAAATCTTAAGATGTCTGCTATATTAGCTTTTTCCAAATCTTTGTCCCTCAAAGCAAAGTTATTTATAGTGAAACTCTTCCTTCCTATCTTTTGTTTGTTGCCTCAAAAGCCTTGAATTCTCAACCCTATAAAAAAAGGGCCTGTTGTATCCTTCAGGGCAAATAAAATTCCGAATAGTTCCTCTTACAGTTGTGATAACAGTTATACTGAACATTACAACATTCAGTGAAACAGAAAAGTGAAGAACGTTGCAGAAGTGAGACTTTCTAGGCAGATAAGTACAGTTCAGTGCTTTTGGAGTCTTTGTGGTATTTCCACCTTTGGTGAAGTGATCAGTTCAAAGGCCTTAAGTTTAGCTACTTAAGGACATTTCATTGAAAGTAGCATAAGAAATTCAGCTCAGCACTTCAGCAGCCTTGAATGACTCCCCTGTCATTTAGGAACATGTTTTACAGTGTTTCGGTAATTGGTAGGAAGTATCAGAAAGTATGCTGTAAACAGCAACTGGCAATGAAGCAGGTTGACTGGAAGCTCAGCTGACATTCTTTAATCTGCACAAGATGATGGACAATCAGCAAGCAATTCATTTCAAACAGACGAGGTGTCTTCATGTGTTGAATCCCTGGTGATGACTGAAGATTCCAATCCTTGAGATGCAGATTCGGCCACAAGTGCCACACGTGAATCTACCAAGGATCATTGTGGTTTAATGTTTTCAGCTGTCGGTGTCTGTTGCCAAGCCATGCTAGCCACTGGTCATTGGAGGTGATGAGTAGGCCTTGTCACCATTTTCCTCCGTCGTCAGCTCGTGACACCCAAGTGAGATAACCAACATTGAGCATGTGTCATGCTTGTAAATCTCTTTGAGGCAGAGCTTTGGGTGACCTACTAGTGTTTTAGCTGCACATACCTCACCATACAGAAATTCTTTTGATACATTAATATCTTCTGTCCTACGTCATGCCCAAGCCAAGAAAACCACTTCTCTTTGTTGAGCGCTAACAACCATGGGATTTGAGAGGACTGAAACATTTGTGAATTTGTCTTGTCAGGATACACCATAGTGTGCTACAAACAGCAAAGATAGAAACTGCTGAGTTTCTTTCATTGCTAGCTGTAAGTCATTCATTTTTCACAGCCATACAAAAAGTGATGAAAACATATTACTCACCAAATATATTCTTCAGAAGCCTGACTTAGCAAGAAGAAAATATGAATTTAATTCATCATATGAAATAATCTCAAAACACTTTTACAATGCAGTAAAATTAATGGCGGAGACAGCAGGTTAGGTAGTCTTCATGCTCCTGAACCACCCCACTCTCTTTTGGCTAAAAGGCCACATCCTTTTTTGTAATTATTTCTTCTTATTATTATATCTTAATTTCACCTTTTGTATCAAATTCATCTCCTTTCTGCGACTGAGGTGCAGCAGTTTTGGTAGAACAGCTCTGAACCCTTGGCAATGTTGGTGGGTCCTTGGCAGTTTCAACAGGCCCCAGTTCTTGGCAGTTTTGACAGGCCCTGGTCCTTGACAGTTTAAACAGGCCCCCGGTCGTTGTCAGTTTTGGTAGGCCCCAGTCTTCAGTGGTTTCGACGGGCTCTCAGTCCTCAATGATTTCAGCAAGTCCTTGATCCTCGGTGGTTTCAACAGGCCCTGGTCCTGGGCAGTTTTGATAGGCCCCCCCCGGTTCTTGGCAGTTTCGAGAAGCCCCTGGTCCTTGGCAATTGTAGCAGCTGATCTCAGCAGTTGGGCAGGCCTCGGTCTTTGGCAGTAACTGGTTTGTGAACCCAAGATCCATAGAATGAATGAAAAATGATACTTATCTTAAATTATATGTAAAAACAGTGAACAAAGTTATGTAATTAAATGGCGCTTTTCTGTGGCGAGTAATACCCATTTTATGGTATTTTCACAATACAAATAACAATAAATTTCTATCTATCTAATTGTTATAAAATAGGTAAACACAGCAGCCATTCTGCACCAACATGAAGGAATGTCAGCTTAATCCTTTTCTTGTTTAAATAGGTTGACAGAGGAATATTGTCCACAACAGCCTGCCCTTCTTTGAATCAAACAACGGAATCTTTGAGATTAATCTAAATAGTGGAGAGTTGCGGCGGAAAGGATTAAAATTAAATGAAAAAGAAACAAGACCTAGAAATGTCAGACACCTATCCATCACAAATGGCCATGTTATCTTTTGTATTGACTTCATTTGGACACTGAGGATATTGCTATTCTGATCTGCATTGGTGTAGAACACCACCTGGTCAGTGTACCCAAACTACAAAGCTGTTTTTCATTTAACAATCTGACCAGGAAGAAAGAGGCTGCACACATCGATATCTGCACATTTGCAACCTGCCAATCTACTTTCAAATTTGAATTAAGTATACTTATTGGTTTTGAGCCAGTCATACAGTTTACTCATAGTAATTGGAAGTCAATTAGTTTAAATTAATTTAATTCATTTTTTCTCATACAAAGAGCCCTCAATGTCATTTTACTTAAATTGTTTCATTCAAATTATTGGATGATTTATTTTCCAAAAGCAAGCAGCTTTATGTTAACAGGGCAGTGCAGATTTCCTACTTGATAAACAGGTCTTGAACACATGCTTGTGCAGAAGACAGCGTGCAGAATGCTTAGTTTTAATGCTCACTGAAAATGTGAAGGGAAGCACAGACTATTTGAGCTACCGGAAAGTCGTGTACAAGTTCAAGCATCAGTCCATTCACAGGTCAGTTGCCACCTAGCCACTTCTTCACAATGACAGGCAAAGAGTCAATAACTAAAGATCTGTAGCAGTCCATATCAGTGTGCAGCAAGACCCAGACAACTTTCTCCTCTTTAAATACTTTTAATGATCTAGCGTCCACAATTCTCTGAAGTACAGAATTCCAGACTTTCACTATTCTCTCGGAGAAGAAATTCCTTCACATCAGTTTTAAATGTGTATCCCCTTGTTCTGTAATGGTGCCCCTTAGTTTGAGAGTCGCCCATTAATGGAAACATCTCAACATCCAGTGCATTCATTATAAGGTGGTCATATAGTGGTAATGTGACTGGATAGGTGATTAATCAATTTGAATTCAATTAATTGAAAGCTAGTCTTCGCAACGGTGCTCTGAAACAATCATGTTAGCTTCAACTGAGTGTGTGCATTTGTTGTCTAGATATGTTTAGATGTTTAATTTGTGCACATTTAATTTAGTTTGTAGTATGTTGTTGGCTTTTAAGTGAAATCAGGAGTTTAAATTCAGTAAATTGTGTTATTTGAGTAGGTTTATTTTCAAGGGTTCCATTGGTGGAGCAGCCTAATTTAGAACTAGATTAAACTGAATCCTCATTAACTGATTCAGAAAGCGCCTTTTTCTTGGGTGCATATTTGAGTAGATATACAAGTATTTAAGTATATTTAAAGTGTATATTTAAGGGGATCCTCGGGTGAACAGACATGATGCTTCATTGATAAGCTCAAGGCCTCAGAAACCTGGGAATCACTAGCCCAAGACTTTACAAAGTGGAGGAGGCACATCCGGGAAGGCATTTAAATACCTTGAAACTTGCCGTTGGGAAGAAAATGGAAGCACACTGCCACACCAATGCCCCACGCACCCCTTCCCACGACCACTTTCTGCCCAGGTATAACACAGCCAGTGGAAGCTGCATCAGTCTGTATAGCCACCTATGGACTTGGCCTGAGAGTGGAAGAGAGTCATCCTCGTCTGCGAGGGACCACCAATGATGATGATATATAATTTAGTACTTGAGAGTGTGGCTTACAATAGAACTTTGGAGCAGAGCATCTCAAGGAGTTAAGCAGAGGAAGGAGAGAGGTATTGGATTGCTTTTGCCAAAACAAAGTAGCTGACTGGTGGTATTTGTAGTCTTTTAAGTTTAAATAAGGTCTTCAGTTGTGCTCAGCTCTCAATTGCTCTTTTTTGTCTTGTTCTTACAAATTGCTTAGAACAAAGAAGATAGAACAGTACAGCACAGTACAGGTCCTTTGGCCCATGATGTTGTGCCAACCTATTATCCTACTCTAAGATCAAACTAACCTGCATACCTTTCATTTTACTATGATCCATGTGCCTATCCAAGAGTCGCTTAAATGTCCCTAATGTATCTGATTCTACTATCACTGCTGGCAGTGCATTCCACGCACTCTCTGTGTAAAGAACCTACCTCTGACATCTCCCCTATTTCTTCCTCCAATCACCTAAAAATTATGCCCTCTCATGATAGCCATTTCCACCTTGGGAAAAAGTCTGTGGCTAACCACTCTATCTGTGCCTCTCATCATCCTGTACACCTCTATCAAGTCACCTGTCATCCTTCTTCGCTCCAATGATAAAAGCTCTAGCTCGCTCAACCTTTCCTCATAAGACCTGCCCTCCAGTCCAGGCAGCATCCCAGTAAATCTCCTCTGCACCCTCTCTAAAGCTTCCACATCCTTCCTATAACTTGTTAAGAATAAAATTGATACCTGAGCATAAAAAATAACAATAAAGTGTAAAGAGTGCAGATTCTTAATGCACAAAGAGCTGGATACCAGAGTGATTAATTAATAACAAACAAAATATGATAGAGACGACAGGTCAGATGTGGTGTTAGAGCTGCTGGACATCAAAGTGATCCACGGTTCTCATTTCTACAGTTTGTTTGCAGCTTGAGCAACTTTAGATCCAAGTTGATGAGCTGGAGACTGAGCAGTAGACATTGCTCCAAATCATGGAGGGAGAATGTCACCTGGATACTTTGCTCCTGGATGTGGTCATACCCCTTAAATGAGGCAATTTAAATATGATTGCTGATCAAGGACAGGATGTTGTTATTGCAGGTGATACAGGTGTACTCAAGGGAACTCTCAAGGTACCTGAGTCCCTGCAAATATCCACCAACTGCTGTGTTTTTGCAAACTGTGTGGATATGAGTGGGAACTGCAAGGAAGTTGAGCCAACTGGTAATGACACTGTGGTGCTGGGAGCTATTCTAGTCGGGGAGGAAATAGAATTGTAGTGGTGTTCGGGAGCAATATAACTAAGGGGATAGATTCCGTTCCATGAGCAGTAAGCATGAGTCCCAAAGGCAGTGTTGTCGGCCTGGCACCAAGGTTAAGGACATTTCCTTGGACTTGGGAGGAACTTGAAATGGGAGGGGATGAGAAGGATCCAGTTGTCAGTCTACATTGGTACCAGTGATATTGATTAGATTAGAAAGGAGATATTGCTGAAAGACCGAACAGTTAGGCGCTAAATTATAAAACTGAAATTTTAAGGTAATAATCTCAGGTTTACTACCCGTGACATCTGCAAACTCACATAAGGTAAATAAAATCAAGGAGTTAAATGCATGGCTGAAAGATGTGTTTGGGTGGAATGGGTTTCATTTCATGGGGCACTGATACCAGTACCGTTAGCCCGAGCTTCATTTTAATCAAGCTGGGATCAGTGTCCTAGTAAATGAAGTAACTAAGGCTGTAGAGAGGATTCTAAACTAAATGAGGGGGCTTGAGAGGAGACTTTGGGAAAAGGGAAACATTGGTTTACAAAGCAAATGGATGTAACAGCATTGCAGAGCAGTTATTTAGATAGATACGCAGAATGGGACAGGAAGATCAGAGTTTATAAGCATATTAAACATAGGGTCAAAGGGGAAATATGCAGTAAAAATGTAACATTACAGGCTCCTAAGTGTCCAGAATATTTGGAACAAAATAAATGGATTAACAGTGGAAATAGAGGTTAATTGTATGATCTTATAACCATTATTTACATTTGGTTACAAGAATATCATAGTCAGAACTAAACATTCACGAGTTTGTGAATTTTTGGAAGGACAGGCAGGGAAGAAAAGGCCTAGTTAATGGACCACATGAAAAGCAAGAAATGATCTTGGAAATGCATAATATAATCAAGTGTGGTCAGCATGGTTTCATGAACAAGAAATCATGCCTGACAAATTTATTGATATTATTTGAGGAAGTAGCAAGCAGGATAGGTAAAGAGAAACCAGCAGATGTAGATTTGGAGTTCCTTAATAAGAGCCTCTGATGTTGGGGTTGGCATGTCAGTCTAGATAGATGATTAGCTAGAACATAGAACAGTACAGCACAGGAACAAGCCCTTCAGCCCACGATGGTGTGTTGAACATGATGCCAAATTAAACTAATCGCTCTGCCTGCCCTTGGTCCATATCCCTCCATTCCTTGCATATTCATGTGCTTATCCAAAAGTCCCTTAAATGCCCCATTGTATCTGCCTCTACCACTACCTTTAGCAGAGTGTTCCAAACTCCCACCGCTCTCTGTGTAAAAAAACTTGCCCCCTACATCTCCTTTGAACATTCCCCCTCTCACCTTAAATGCATGCCTCTAGTCTTAGAAATTTCAACTCTGGAAAAAATATTCTGACCATCAACCCTATCTATGCATCTCATAATTTTATAGACTTCTGTCAAGTCTCCCCTCAGCCTCCTCTGCTCCAGAGAAAACAACTCAAGTTTTTCTCACCTCTCCTTCTAGCTCATACCCTCTAATCCGGGCAGTATCCTGGTAAACCTCTTCTGAACACTCTCTAAAGCATTTGCATCCTTCCTGTAATGTGGCGACCAGAACTGAATGCAATACTCTAAATGTGGTCTAACTAAAGTCTCATAAAGCTGCAACATGACATCCTGACTCTTGTGTTTGATTCCATGACCAATAAAGGCAAGCATGCCATATGCCTTCTTTACCACCCTATCTACTTGTGTGGCCACTTTCAGGGACTATGGACTTGAACCCCAAGATCCCTCTGTACATCAATGTTGTTCAGGGTCCTGCCATTAACTGTATACTATGATGCAATGAAAACAATCTATCTCTCAATGTTTGCAAAACTAAAGAACTGATCATCAACTGCGGAAAGAAAGGAGGCGAACACGCCCCCATCTACATCAACAGAACTGAGGTTGAGAGGGTGGACAGCATCAAGTTCCTTGGAGTGACGATAACCAATGTCCTGGACTTCCCACGTAAATGCAACAGTCAAGAAGGCACAACAACACCTCTTCTTTCTCAGGCGGCTCAGGAAATTTGGCATGTCCATAAGGTCCCTCACCAACTTCTACAGATGCACCATTGAAAGCATACTGTCTGGGT